CCTCACCATCTTAAGTTCACCCCTAAACACCTCAACTTCTTTCACCACTCCATCTATTTTTCCTTCCACTTCCACCTTATGCCTCTCAAGTGTCTGTTCGACTCTCTCAAGTTTCTCTTTGACTCTTGATTGTCTTTACATGATATCAAATTGGATTTTTTTTATATCAGCCAATTCAGACATCAAAATGTTGAATTTACTCCGTTTTCCCTCATCGTCATCCCCCAATACAACCATTTCTTCTTCCTTCTCCTCTGCCTCCACTACATCCTTGCCAATAACCTTCAAAATTAAATTACAATATTAAGACATTAATTATATTATTAATATTATTTAATTACATTTATTACCCTTTCTTGTTTCCTTGGTCTATCCAACTTCAACTTCGCCATCACTCTAACCACCTCTTCCTTCCCCCATGCACGGATGCGTGCCACTCCGGTTCTTTCATAAGCCGACACTGCCTCACAGCCCGACCAAAAATCGAATAGTGCAACTTACATTTATAATAAAATTTATAATTTTATATAATAACTATATTTTCATTTTATATAAAAAACAAAAACATTCTTCAACTCTTTTACCTCTAAGATTGCTATGCACCCTTTGAGGTATCTCTGGCTGCCCTTTTTAAAGGTGATTATTGATTCAATCAATCTCGAATGGACATATTCAGCCTAATTAAATTCACCCTTCAAGCCTTCATCTCAAATGAGCTTCATATAGTCCTTGTTCGTTGACGTATCACCCGTTGGACAAAGAAAGATCCCGACAAGGTACAATAGAACTCGGGCCTTCAGCTCACCCTCCCCCCCCCCGTAAGATCTACTTTTGATTTCCTCTTCAAGTTCAACATATGTCACCTTTTGCTTCAAACCATATTTGGAGGCAAGTGCTTTCCAGTCCTTACTCTTAGAGACTTCTACAACACTTTTGCCTTCATTTCCTACCCCCAAGACGGCTGCAACACAAAGGATCCTGAGAGGAAATGAAAAATCACCATATTTAGCAATACATTATTTGACATCAAATTGTGCCATCAAACCATCAAAGATCGACATAATTCCCTCCGAATAGGTCGATCCCTTACTCCTACCAACGATCTAAACCCTATTTCTCCCAATACATTCAACTGACCCTTCTCCTTAAGGTGTATAATTAATGAATTCACCCTTTTAATGTTGCACCTTGTCGACACTTCCTACATTTTTTAACAATATATAATGTTATAGTTCTTATATATTTTGTATCAACGTATTTACAAGTTTAATGAATACCTTCTTTTCATGTGTTTTCCTCTATTCTTTGTATTCTTCATTATCCATCTTTGACTGTGCGATGTAAGGTTCCTTCTCAGCATCACTCATCGAATTCCATTTCTCCAACACATCATTTCTCACATAATATTAAGCATAAACGTTTTTTAATCAATACATTAACGCTAAATAATACTCAATGTCAATTTCAATTTATATATCGAACCGTTGTGTTCGCCACCTTCCTTCATCCTTTTGCATTCGGTCATACTGTCAACATTTAAAATTTGTCATCAATTTAAAGTTCTTATATACTTTAATCCAATTATCATTTCAACAATAATAACAAAAAGACATTGATACTTACTAGAAGTACATATATCCACCCTTTGGTTGCTTTCGAGTCTCAGCCTCAATTTCAAAGTCATCTGCGCCACCAACAATATTTCCACCCATTGACTCCATTTTTCCTTCATATATCAGTTTACGCAAATCAAATCAAATACTTGTTACATATACTTTATTCAATATACAAATATAGATAACTACTCTTGTGGTAAAACAGTTTTCTTCAAAAGAATTTGAATGTCCACTACAAAATGTGTTGGCACATTTATACAACCTAAAATATCATTTTCTACCTATATTATTATATACAAGTATCCATATTTATTTTCTACCTATAATATTATATAATCGGTCACAAATCCTTCTTGGCTTTAATTCGAAATCCCCAAACCAAATCTAAAAACCTTAATCCCTATTTCCTTCACACGGTTGAGAACACTCAATACTCCAAGTATCGGCACATTTATACAACCTATAATATCATTTTCTATCTATAATATTTAATAAAAGTATCGATATTTATATTTTATCTAGAATATCACTTTCTACCTGTAATCGGTCTCAAATGCTTCTTTACTTTGAAAACCCCAAACAACACATAAAACTCTATTTCCAATTACTGTAATAATAAAAAACTAGAGTTTCTACAACGTACTTTTCGATTCGACTGCAGCAACAAACAAACAAACTTCGGTTTAGAAACGCCTTCTGAAATCCAGCAACAATTACGTTTCGATTTCAAAAACTCGTCCGTTCTATCTATTTTTCAGAGGATATTTAACTATGCCTTTTATATTTTCACCGGATATGTAATTTCTATTTAATCGATACAACTACAAAAGTGTCGATACTTTTATGTCATGTGTCGATACTTTCGAAAAGTATCGACACTTTCGATAGAATAATTACCTATATCTTTGAAAGTATCGATATTTTATTATGCGTACTTATTAAAGTATCGACACTTTCAAAATATCCGGTAGCGCTTTATCGGTTTTGTCACTTATAGACCTGTTTTATCATATTTTTACCTTTTATATCGTTATAGATTGATACATTTTTATAAAGTATCGACACTTTATAGGCGCTAAAACTACTTCTCCTTTAAATTCACAATGTGTCAATACTTATATTAAAATATCGACACTTTCAATATATCCGGTATCTCTTTACCGGTTTTATCTTCTCCTGACCGATTTTGTCATATTTTTACATGTTATATCGTTGTGGATTGATACATATTTATAAAGAATCGACACTTTATAGGCGCTAAAACTGCTTCTCCTTTAAATTCACTATGTGTCGATACTTATATTCAAGTATCGACACTTGCAATATATCCGGTAGCGCTTTACCGGTTTTGTCTTTTCGTGACCGGTTTTGTCATATTTTTTCCTATTATATTGATGTGGATCGATATATTTTTATAAAGTATCGACATAAATCAACAAGCTAAGTTTGTCGTTTGTCAAATTTTTTAATATTTCTTCATGATTTAGACCTACTACATTATTATTACTCAACATTTCCGATAACGCTAAACCAAATTTATTAAATATCTTTTAATGTATCTAGTAACGTCGTATATTAGCTCATCCCCAAGTGTGTTCCGTTGGAAGGAAGCTTATGGATTTATTAAGTTAAGGAAGGTGAAGGTGAAGCTTTGTAACAAAATAAAATCGCTTTTTTTCCTTCTTTCTAATGGGATCTTTCTAGATTTCCCATCAAGCTGTCGACAAGAGAATAGGAAAGAACAAAAAAATGCTAAATTACATGATAGGTCATTATATTATAAATATATTTAAGGTAAACTACACATTTAATACCGTAACTATTATTTTTGTTCAGTTTTGATCACTACCTGTTAGTTCCAATAACCAGACCCATTTCTTGGTTTCTGATTGCGTCAGGATCCATTTAAAATGGCAAGTATAGAGAATACACCACAAAAAATTCATTGGAAATTCATAAATTCTTATTCTTATATAATATAGTAAGAAAGAAAAAGAAGGGAACTTTAGAAAGTCATTAAATAATAAAATACACGATTTTGTTTCTGGAGGACATAATGTTCAATTCCTATATATAAGAATAAGAATAAGAATTTATGAATTTAGAAAGTCATTAAAATAATAAAATACACGATCTTATTAAATCTATTAAAAAATTAAAAAATTTCATCAAATTCCTATATATTTTTAAAAATTTAATTCACTTCTAAATTTAGTATCAAGATCTATCACCATGACAAATGTCATAGAAATTAACGACGAGAGTAGAGAGGAGTAGCTAGGGTTAATATCATTTAGGAAAGAGCTAAATTGATGATTTTAAAAAAAAAAAGAATTTAGGTGTATCACGTCGCCAAGAAAATAAAAATTAATGACTAAATTAATAATATAAATGATTAAAGCATAACTTTTAAAAGTTCAGTGATGACAATTGAACAAAACCAAAACCAAAATGACATTCAATGGTGATTTACTTTTTAGTTTATTAATAATAAAAATTAAATATCTATGTTCTATATAGAAGTAGAAAACAATTCAGTGATGTCAACTTGTATATTATCCTAAATAATACTTAAATGATGTGAAATCTATGGTATTTTTTCTCTCTTTCAGTCATTTAGTAATAGAAAATTTTAAAATATAATTTGTTAATATAAGATTAAAAAATGATAGAAATGAGTTACAATAAAAAAAAAATATTAAGACCAAAACTTTTTAGATTAAACAGAATAATATTTTTTGTTATAATCAAAAATGTTTCATTATTCATAATATTTTCGATTGTAAACCTTAAATCTTTCGCAATGTAACTTTTTAATTATAACTTAAATTGTTATAAATTTGTATAATTTTTAAGTTAAACAATATAAGATTTTAAGTTAAAAATCAGCTTAAACTAATCTTAAATTAAACAATCGTACAACAGAACTACCCTTCACCAATACTATATGTAGAAAACGTTGCTTGCAAGCCTGGCTAAGAATTCAATTAACCTAGATTTTCGGGTTAAACAACTTTCTAAAAATTCTAAAAAGGAAGAACCCACCCTAGATTAACCGAGTTTTGAATATTCTTATTTGAAGAGATCCAAGAATAAAGCTGTACTTGTAACGAGGTCGGTTCATGGATATTTCGAGTCAACAAGGTTAATTTATCTTAAACACACATTAATATAATTTGCAGTGTTAATTTTATCAATTTTTAAATAAAAATCTTTCTAGTTAGCTGTTTATACGTCCTTTTTATTATCTTCAACTTATTTTTTTCCACATGAATCACAGCTATAAATACCTTTGCAAAACCTCACAAAGTCCATCAGAACTCAACAGTCCTACCACAGTCACCTTCACTCTCGACCCTCTGGCCAGTGACCTTTCTCACAAAGATGAAGCTTTTACTTGCAACTTCGTTGTTTGTGCTACTCTTCTTTACATCATCATTTGTCCAACTCTCATTTGCCAAACCCGGAGCACCTGCACCCGCCACCGTCCCTCCGCCATCTCGTTCACCACCTCCTCTTAGTAATGTTTTTTTTTATTATTAATTAAACTACTGATTTTTTTATCATTCATGCATTTGAGATTAACATTGTTATCATTTGTGTGTTATATATAAGCATATGTTTAATATAGGGTATCCTTGATTTGTTTTCATAGGTGTAACGGGATTTTTCTTTTATTTGCTAGTAGATTTCTGTGATAGAAAGTGTGCGGAGAGATGTGCAAAGGCAGGAGTGAAAGACCGGTGCTTGAAGTATTGTGGGATATGCTGCCACGACTGTAAGTGTGTTCCTTCAGGGACCTTCGGGAACAAGTCTGAATGTCCTTGCTATCGAGACAAGTTGAACTCTAAGGGCCACCCTAAATGCCCTTAATATTCCCCTTCCAATTTAGACTTCAGTTTGTTCCTATCTTATCACTCTCTGTCCACTGAGATCCACCCACCAATTATATGTAAAACAATAAGAATGTGTGTGTATGAAATAAAGTGTACTCCGTAAAACAAATTGCATTGCATCTTATTTCCCAACAACTATAATAAAAAGATTCTCCCCTTTTTCTTGTGAAAATTTTTTATTGGTAGATTACTGGATTGTACAGTTATATAAATGATCTTCACTCTTCAAATCTAAACGTGAAATTCCAAATCATAAGCCATAACAACATATTGATTGAGGCTTGGGATGAGTAGATCGCCCATAAAGAAAGTGATATCAACATACAGAAAGTCAAACTTTGAATACGGCACAGCAGCGAAACAGCACGAGTATGTTCCGATCATGATATGTACTGCCCTTGAAATATGAAAGAAGAGGTTAAGAGAATGGACACTTAGCATGTACATAGAGATGAAACTAGGGCTGGAAAGTCTAGCAATGCTCTTCCAGAAGTTTTCTTTGAACATGTACGGATACCATATACCAACTTAGAAGATTTAGCTACCCTGAGGATTTCAGGCTCCACCAACCGGTGCCTGATTTCCGTTTCCCCCTCTTCCTTTTGTAATTAGGGACCTTGGACTTGGATGACGAAGATACATCTGCATCTGGTCGAACAGAAGAGTTTGTCGGGAGGTCATCTCCAGGAGCAAGAACAGTACGCTTTTTGGTAGGCATTGGCAGCTCTTTGGTGTCTGACTTTTGTTTCCCCCACTTCCTTTTGTTATTAGGAACCTTGGACTTGGACGTAGAAGATACCTTCGCATCTGGTTGAGCAGAAGCGTTTGCTGGGAGGTCATCTCCAGGAGCAAGAAGAGTAGGCTTTTCGGTTGGCATCAGTGGCTCCCCGGTGCCTGATTTTCGTCTCCCCATCTTCCTTTTGTTTTTAGGGATCTTGGACTCGGACATCGAAGGTACCTTCACATCTGGTTGAACAGAAGGGTTTGCAGGTAGGTCATCTCCCGGAGCAATAACAGTAGGTTTTTCAGTCGGTATCAGTGGCTCATTGGTGCCTGATTTTCGTTTCCCCATTTTCCTCTTGTTATTAGGGATGTTGGTCTCGGACATCAAAGATACCTTCTCATCTGGTTGAACAGAAGGGTTTGCGGAGAGGTCATCTCCAGGAGCAAGAACAGTAGGCTTTTCAGTTGGCATCTGGGGATCCTCAGTGCCTGATTTTCCTTTCTCCATATCCCTTCTGTTATTACTAATCTCGGACTCAGACGTCAAAGATACCTTCACATCTGGTTGAACAGAAGGGTTGGCAAGGAGGTCATCTCCAGTAGCAAGAACAGTAGGATTTTCGGTTGGCATCGGCGGATCCTCAGTGCCTGATTTCCGTTTCTCCATATTCCTTCTGTTAGTACTGATCTCGGACTCAGACATCAAAGATACCTTCACATCTGGTTGAACTGAAGGGTTGGCAAGGAGGTCATCTGGAGAAAGAACAGTAGGCTTTTCGGTTGGCATCGGCAGCTCCTCTGCCGGTTGAGTTAAACCACTTTGAAAATTATACAACTCTTCCTTGGCAGCCTGGTAATGTATCAAAATATCATCCTCAGTCTGCAAATATAATGAAGAATTGTTGCATTACAAATGAAAACGAGATTGTTGAATATGCATATTTGGAATCTAATACTAGTTAATATTCACATCATCATGTATAAAACAATCAAAACCAAATCCTGATAACAAAAACCGAGGACAATATAATAATGTGAATGTTAACTGAACAAAAAAAAGTAGGAATTACATGAGGCAGGTAAAAGCTAGGAAGATTTTTTTCTAGTTTTGTATTATATGTGCAAATGAAAAACCCTTTTTTCCTAGCCAACGGTATTAGCAGAAGCAAAGAATGAAACCCAAAATTAAATTACAAGTACAATACTTTGTTATCTTCTGCTACAGCCGTAAGCAAAGCAAATGATAAAAATGTAAAAATTAAAGATGTCAATAAATGTTACAGAAAAGATGGAAGAAAAAAACTTAAATGATCAAGAACAATATATAAAAAAAAGAGCTCACATTGTCATAAGAAACTGCAGCAAGATTCTGTTCAGTTCCCTCAATCACATCAGGAAAAGGTGCAACCTCTCCATGACTTGAAACTGCACTACTTCCAGGCACAAATAGATCTCCCATGTTACCACCCTGAGATGTAACTGGGATTCGCTCTCCACTCCCAACTGGAGAAGAGCGACTTCTAGAACCATATAAAGTGTTGCATGGCATAACTGAACTCAATACATTAATGGAAGAGAACTTTTGAGGACTTCCATTAACCACACTGTCAACTCGGGTCTTTAACGTGTGAACTTGTGATTGAATCAGATCAATCTTTCCAAGGATCTTTTCTAACCAAATATCACCGTCTCTGAATTCAAGACCCGACAATCCATCACTAATTCCAATGTCTTCATTGCTATTGACCGTTTTGTTTCCTAAAATAATCAAGAAAATGGACCAAAATACCCATTAGAGAGAGTCAATTTTTGGAAACACAATCACAACAGCTATTTGGTTGACCTTGCTCTATGACACCTATGAGCTACACAGTAACCAAAACCGAGTCAAATGTAATTCTTACCAAACTTACCATTATCACCATCTTGAGCAGAAGTAGCAACAACAAATTTCTTACTGTCTGGGAGCAAAGAGAATGTACTTATCAGATTAGGATTTAAAAAATGCTTAATCCATAAAGAATGATGATGAAATTTATAGTTTCATACCATAATATGAGAAAATGTTATGATTTGACATATAAGATGCTAAATCAGCAGTATCTTCAACTCGCTTTCTTTTCCTCCTCTTCATTACTTTCTTTCTTTGAATTTGAAAAGGTTGTGACTTCACATTAAGTCCCTCAAATGTGAGCTTTTCATATTCAAAGTTCTTTCTCTGATCATATTCTGCAAGTTGTTGATCATACTTCAATGTCTGAGATTTAAATTCCTTAAGTTGCAATTCTAACCATTTACACCGCCACATAATGGGACGAACAAACCTCCTCCAATGATCTGTCAACTTTCTCTTCCTGGAAAATTTAGGAAAAGAAAGAAAACTGAATAATGCAACATGTATTTGGGCATCAAACTGGAATACACATCACAAATGGAAACAGAGTTTTCTTTTTTACAATTGCCAGCCAAAAAAAGTGTAAAGAATAATTCTATCAGCAAGAGTCAATATAATTTTATGTGCATTTATGGTGGTCATTTTTAGAAGCCAGTAAATTAAAATAAAATTTCATTAATTATCAATAAACTAACACAAACAAAATAGTTTGAGGCTTTGAGCTACCAAAAAAAGTACCTTAATAGGAACAACCCATCAAACATTGATCCCAATGGACTCCCACTGCGTAATGCCGAATCAACTTCAACATCACTTATTGCTGAGTCATTCTCAGCCCCAGATATAGTGCCACCAAAAGAACTCGAATTCTCAGTGTCATCCTGACATTCAGCGATAGTCAAGCTATCCATGTCAGAATTTGTACATTCAGTTATGTTAATCTCCATATCCGCAGCTCCTTTGGGTATCGTCCCTTCTCCTACACCATTCAGAGTTTCCTCACCAGAGTTGTGGTCATCACAATTACTCACAGAATGCATAAACTTATCTTTCGAATCTTGAGACAAGCTTCCATTTCCATTACCATTTGAAACCATTTCCATCATTGTATTGGACTCGTCTTTTGGCTCCAATCCAGAGCCTATACTACTAATCATCATAAAGACTTCCAATTCACTAATAAGTCAACTTAATTAAAAAAAACACTCCCTGCAAAATTGAAATCAAATTTAACATTACCATTTCATCTAAGCAAATTGAATTTTCAAAAGAAAGAGACTACAAGTAAATGGCTCATATCTTTATATTCATATACAGATTAATCAAAGCTGCAGAACATAAAAAGCTAAAAAAAAAACCCAAAAGAACGAATTTTCCAACTAACGACAAGTTAGAGCACAAGATTATCATAAAGGGAATAAGGAATTTACGCATCGAAATACACATAAATCGCAAAACCCTAAAACCCTAAAACAGGGAGCAGAGAAGAGGTAAAGAACCTAGCATTCAAGTCTATTAACACCTGGGCTTGGATTGGTGGAGTGTTAACGCCACCGTTGACAATTTTTCGTATGATTTTCTGGAATTTGTTTGATGGCTACAAAGTTGAAATTCTAGAAAAGAAAATAAAAAGAGGAGAATTTGCGAAGGCGTGGTTCAGAAAAAGATCGGTGGAGTGTAGCAGATGTTCGCTGTATAGTTGTGTCGCCAGTAGAAAAGAATAATAAAAGCAGATATTAAAAAAGGTAAATTATAAATTTACTCACTAAATTTTACTCTCCATCTTATTTTATCTCCTATACTTTTAATTGTTTTCAATTTAATCACTAAGCTTTATACATTGATTTTTTAGTCACTCAATTATTAACTTTTCTAACGATGTTATGATATGGAAACCAATATCAAAAGGACGTAGATTTGGATCTCATAGAAAATCAAATTAAAACCAAAACGACGTAGTTTTGGTCAAAATAAAAAAAAAATTCCATTCGTTTTCTGCTCTTTCCTTCTCTCTTCTTCTTGTCCCCCCTCTTCAATTCTCTCCTCAACTTTAGTGAACCCAGATTTCGACTACCACGTCGACCGCTATTCTGACCACTGTTAGACACCTTTATCGGTGACCAATGTCAAAGTACTGGCTTCACCTCAATACCAACCTTCGTAGATGAGTGATGACAAAACCAGAATCAAGAATTCCTTGATATTTTCATGTTTTTTGCGCTGCTTCAATTTACTTCTTCAGTGGCATCCTCTTCCAAACAACTTTCATGGTATCTTGAATAATTAGGTTTTCATTCTTAAGGTTTGACGACTGACTTATCTTTCTTTATTTTTCCAGGTAACTGATTTTCTTGGAATCAATTCATAGTTAATAACTTCAAGATATTGTTATGGTCCATGTCTTCCATTGCAGATGCTGAAATCAAGCTTGAAGTGCACAAATCATGAATTAGTGTCGCGCATTTATAATGAGCCCTATATTGAAACCAGCATTTTGGTTTTTCTTTCCACGTACTATGCCATTGAGCAGCAATGGTACCTTTTGAAGCCATTTAGTTCATCCTTTAAGGTTCACATTTTACATCGTAGTGTTGACATTGAACAGGCTCTCATGACTATGAAAATCTGGAAATCTCATCATAATGTACACCTTTTAACCCTCACTATGACTCCTTGAATATTATTGGTTGAGCATACAAGACATTGATTATGCATATGCATCTTTTAGCCTGCAAAATGTATCATTCAGTTGCTTTTTCATTAAACTGGAAAGGTTGTCCAAAAGATATTATCATTTGCAATCATACGAGAAAGTTAATTTGATGGTTTGATGTTTGTTAATGAAGTTTAGATTTTTGCTTCCATCAATAGCATCTACCTTCGTGACTTTCTTCTTCAAGTTTTATATTTAATTTGTGTTGTGCTTACGAATGTTTCAAAAAATAAATTATTTTCCACAGATAAGGTTTGGGTTTCTAACTTTTTTTAACAATTTGGATGCTTTATTATATTTAGCTCATTCTTTTTACCTAAACGTTTTAGGCTGAGCAACGGAGAGGTAGAATTGGTCGTACTTGTGATGGTCATGTATATTGGTTGGTTATACAATCATTTTCTTTAGCGATCTTGAGGATTTTGAGTGTCCGACTATATTGAAATTGTCATTGAGACAACAAATGCTTCAGATATGTTGTGCTAAATTCAGATACGGTCATTGGTCTCGCACAAATGTGATCGACGTGTTGGCCGGAATCTGACTTCATTGAGATGAGGAGAGAGAAGGGAAAGAAGAAGAAAAGGAAAAAGGAAAAAAATAAAACTATTTTTCTATTTAAACTAAAATTGTGTCGTTTTGGTCTAAATTTGATTTTTTATAAGAACCAAAACTATGTCGTTTACATGTTGATTGTCACATCATAATACCAACAGAAAGTTAATGACTGAGTGACAAAAAAAATAATGTATAAAATTTCGTGATTACATTAAAAAAGTCAAAAATACACCAAGTAATATAAGAGAGAAAATAAAGTTAAATAAATTTATAGTTTACCCTAAAAAATGAAAAAGATTGGTTATTTTGGACCTAGTACCTATATAGTTCATTTTATGTTTATGAGGGCCTTAATTTTATGTTCGTGAGTCCCTATCCTAATTTTTTAGGATAAACTACATATTTAGTATCTAAATTATTACTTTTATTTTATTTTGACACTTAAATTTTATTTTTTTTAAACTTTAACTAACGTTTAGTTTAAATTTCGATTTAGTACTCACTATTAAAAAATTAACAGACCTACTAACATGACATTTTTTTTATTTTTCAATGATGACATGACATTATCATATGGTGACACATTAACGTCACCGTTAAGGTTTTAACGGTGGGTACCAAATTGAAATTTAAATTAAATATTAGGTATGATTTTAAAAAACAATAAAGTTTGAGTACCAAAACGGAATAAAAGTAATAGCTTAAGTACTAAATATGTAGTTTACCTTTTATTTTATACCAAAATAAGAATATATATATATATAAATAAAAATTTTAATATATTAAAAAATTAATTAAACATGCCATGTCATAAACACTTAAACTTTGTCGTTTTGTAGAGCAGCAAATAGATTTTGATAGCTTGAAGAATATATTTCGACATAAATTCCACAACTTCGTTTCTTCTAAACAAAAGATGAGCAAATAGGAATATAGTTGTTGGGTAGTAGAGAGGCGCCGCTTAAGTTAAATTCTCTCTAATTTTTTAGGGTTGCTAGCTTGTTCCACTTTTTCACCTTCATTAGCAAGCCTAATCCAGCCCTCAATCTTCTTTATCTTTTTATATTTTAATTTTCAATAAATCTATTTTTATAGTACGTTTCATTTTTTTATCACTAGTTTGATTGTTATTTTCATTTAACTTTATCAGGATTAAATTTAATATTGTTCCATCGATCGAGTTGACTCGCTTATTTATTATCTTGTTGTTTTTTTTATTTTAGACGTGGTTTGCACTCGATTTCGATTTGTGATTGTTGGTAATCTTTCAATAGTTTCATCCCTTGTGGTTCAATATAATTCGATCTGTTCGTTTCAATCTTTTGTTCAAGTTTTTTGATGGATTGTTAATTTTTTTTCCTTGTATGGTCTTTACGTGATCTAAATACACACATAGCTGATATAAATAAAGTGAATCTTTATAAGCGTCAAAAACATAAGCAATGGAGCAAAAATTATTAGCTGCTTTTATCCCACCTCAAAGTGCATGAAAATCCCTTTCCAACAATCAATTTCACCCCACATATATAAAACTGGACTCTCAATCCAATCCCCTCTATCTCCCCCACAAAAAACGTTATCAAGTAGCAAAACTTCACATGCAATATTTGCAACATCAGATGTACAAGTCGTAGAGACTCGAAACCTTATCAACCATTCCAGCTGCTGGGTCCATTAAATCGACAAGGTATCTTACAGCAGCATCATGCACAATTTGAGCCTTGTTTTCATGAAATATTGATAGATTAAACAAGGTTGTCGCTGCATCTTTCTTCCCCCTTGGAGTACCATTCCCCAGCAAATCAACCAGAGGGCAGAGGCCTGATTGCACCAGACCTTCCGATCTTGACTTTGATATAATCGATGACCAGAAGGCTAAAGAGAGTGGCAGCCGAGTTTTCTTTAGCTTCAGGACTTCCTGTCTCAAGCACATGAATCAGAGGATCAATTGCATTTGCATTAGCAATAGCTGTTTTGTTGTTATCATTGATTAATAAGTTAAGAATTGCCGCAACAGCATTTTCTCGAGTTTTTGTATTAGGTGAAGGAAGTAAATCAAAGAACTTGAGAAAGCTTTCAGCTTATTACTGCAGTTCTTGAAACACTAATATCACCACGATTCTATCGGCACAAAAGCGAATTAAGAAAAGACTAATAAATTCATTTGCAGAGTTTGAAGGTAAATAAAAAGTGAAATAGGAAAGTAAGGACAGAGTACATACCTTTTCCTTGTAAATCCTAAGAGCAAAATTCTCTCTCAAGAGCTGATCCTTGGCAAATCATGTCGTTCCATAAAACTGAAGAAAACCTTTTTCACATCCTTATCATAGCCTATGAAGTTACACCACCTTGATAACAAAAAAACACACTCTTGAAATCTCAATTTTACTAACTAGAAATCCATATACAGAAAAGCAAAACTTTAAATCAAGACTCAATTAACGTAACATATTAAGAAAAACTCTAAACCTTCAATCATAATATTTACCTCCACAACACCCACTGAAGTTACAGTATGCTTCCTTTCAAAGCTTATCATGCTCAGCCTCCATCAAATTGAAATAAAGGTAAACCTAACAATAAAAAACACAACCATCTCTTTAACATTGAGCATAACATGATCCCCACCTACAGTTCAACCCTAAGAAGAGAGACATCTGACTAATAACAAGCCAAATCCTTCTTTAGAAGATTAGAGAAAAATAAATGAAGGCCAACAAATAACTGAAATTAAGAGTTCATTATTTGGATATATTTTCAATTTTTTAGTAATCACTTGCATCCTTACTAAAACAGAAAAAATTTGTCTACCTTTTCGACAAGGAAAAAAGATACAATTGAAACAAAAGCAACCAGATAAGACTACATGGATGTAGAGCCTTTCCATACGAATTACTAGTCCATCAACCTCATTGTTATTTATGGATGTGCAGCAAACCAAAGGATATAGAAAGGCCTCAACAAAAATTACAAAAACAAATATAAAATTTCCCCACAACCACATTCAAATTCCACATGCTACTGGATGAAAACTAGCAAAGATATAAAGAAACCTCTAAATTTACCAAAATCTGTCCGTCTCTACATGATTTATCATGTCACTTATATGGCCAACATGGTTTGATGTAGAAACTTTATCCAAGAAAGCTATTTCTGCTCCTCTTCAAACCAAAGGTGATTAGTGGTGTGCTTTCATTAGAGCAAAGTGTTGTCAAACAAGATTTCATTGTATCTTGGCTATTCGATACACCCCTTCAGCATACTTGGTGTGGAGGAAAAAAAAAAGCTGCTAAAGCTAAGTGAAGTCTAGAGCAGGCCTTGAACACTTTATTTATTTATTTTTTCTAGATATGTTCCCTATCTTTTACCCACACAATTAAAAAATAATTAAAAAATCCACTTATGTCATTCAAAACAATACTATTAAACAACATGGTTAATTAGATCAAATGGGTTGTTTAATTATTTCGAATATGAGCAACATGAAATAAGAAAATATAGCCAAAATTTTCAGGAATGCAAGGAAATGACAGCAAAGGAAATAAGAGGCACCTCAATCAAGATCTTTCAGCAATTTTAACGGGCCAGTGATCTACAAGGAAACCAAAAACAGAGGCTTTGAAACTAAGTCTTTAAACAAGAAACCAAATGCATATATCAAATTTTAAGAGAATAAAACACAGCAGTAAACAGATTCCACAGTAAAAAAAGAATGGAAAAGGTAAACAGAAAGAAACGAAGAGACGGTACCTGAATGCAGCTTTGAATTCTGGGTGTTATTTTTGGTTTCTTAATCTTAGTAAGAAGAAAAATAAACAAAACCCAGATTTCACTATCTTAATGCTTGGTCTTAATAAAAAAATTATTCAAGTAATCTTTTTTATTTGGTGATTTTAGTTAAATCTATTATTTTATGATTTGCTTAGAGTGGGACATTTGGAATCTGTTTATGAATGAATGTTTTAGCTGGAATTTGGGGATTTCTTCAGCGGTAGCCGCCCAAAGGAGCTTGTTTAGCAGAATTGCTTCTAGTTACTCGTGAAGTTAAATATAAACTTCATGTCAAATTGATTACTTATCATGTCAAATTGTGAAGGGTTAATTGTTTTTCACTGAATATCAGTAAGTACATATATTAAGAAAGGATTTTGACAACTGATAAGTAGTTTAAAAAAATGTTAATGGACTTGGTTAAGCAAATGGAACGAAGATTATTCACTCATTCCACCCCCAAGCTCGCTGCAAAGTTCAAACTCCAGATAAAGAGTCACGTGTAGGAAAATCTCTTTCCAACATTCACAATTTCCCCATATTCAAGGAGAGAGAAAAAAAGAGGAGTATTTCACAAGTGGACTCTCAATTAAATCCTCCACAAGTTATCCCTGTAATTTCAAGCAGCAAAACTTCACCTGCATGATTTACAACATCAAATATACATATAACAAACTGTATAGGCCCAAAACCTTGAATGGTAATGACGGTTGTTTTCCGGACTTTCATCCTGTTCCAGCATATCCATGTCTAATGTTTCGAAGGTGGCTAATAAGTGCTTGTGCCTGCAACAAACATCGGCTTTATGATGTTTACTTTTCCGAAGTTGAAGGAAGTGAATTAAAAAAAAATTGTACTTTCTCTTTAGCTCTCGGGGTTCCGCAGTTGGACAATTCCACTAATAATGGAAAAGCTCCTTGCAGAACCAAATTGCAAAACCTAGGACTGCATATGCAGAGATGTAAAAGAGCACCAGCAGCATTTTCTTTTCCTCTGGCTGAACCCATTTCAACAACCTCAACCAGAATGGGAATCCCACAGTGTTTTTCAATTGCAGTCCTCCCTTCAGGAATTGTAGCAAGCTTTGCCAAAACAAATACTGCCTTATCAACCATTCCAGCTGTTGGGAGCATCAAATCCACAAGGTATCTTACAGCACCAGCCTGCACAATTCGGGCCTTATTTTCATGAAATATTGACAGATTAAACAAGGCTGTCACTGCATCTTTCTTTCCCCTCGGAGTACCATTCCCCAGCAAATCAACCAAAGGCCGGATTGCCCCAGACCTTCCAATCTTGACTTTGTTATCCTCGATGGCCGAAAGGCTGAAGAGAGTGGCAGCTGTGTTTTCTTTAGCAACAGGACTTCCAATCTCAAGAACATGAATCAGAGGAAAAATTGCATTTGCATTAGCAATGGCTGTTTTGTTGCTATCAATATTTGAAAGTTAAGAAGTGCTGTAACAGCATTTTCCTGAGTCTTTGTATCTGGTGAATGAAGTAAATCAACTAACAAGCTAATTACCCCAAAGTTCGTTATTATAATCCGATTATCCCTACTCTGCTTGGAAAGAAACCTGAGTTGAGCTGTGGCCTCCCTTTGAGTATCAATTGATGTACTCTTCAAGTCCTCAACCAACTTTTTAACCTCGGATTCACAACGTGTATAGGGCGCATTTAGACTCATGAACTTAATTGGATCAGGCAACTTCACATTGTTTGACTCACACCAGTTTGCAATTAGTGCCTTCACAGTGTAATTAGGTATAAGGTTGGTATGAGTCAACTTCTGTCGTGTCTTGGGGCACATAGTGAGCCCAAGATCAATCCATTTTTTGATGAAAGCGTGCTCATAGGTTTTTCTTGATGCCACAATCACTGGCTCAGTCATTAGCTCTAGCGAAAGGGGGCAGATGAAATTCGAAGGTATGAGAACAGGGCTGCTGGTCTGAGACTGTTTTATTAAGATAATGCGATGATGCATGCGAGTTACAAGAGCAATAAGTTTATCAATATACTCGACTTCTGCAGTTTTATCAGCTTGATCAGCATTCTCCTTCAACTTTTCAAGGGCCACAGCCTCTATCAAAATCTCCTGATTTGAATTCAAGCTCAACTCTCAACAATTATCACTAATATTTCTGCCCTTGGTACAGAGTTATCCAATTGAACCTTTATGGCTTCCTCAATAACGGACGATGTTTGTTCATCTCCCACATGCTTAATTTTCTGCAAGTGGTGTTGTAATCAATCATAACAAGTGTTAGACATCCTGAAATGGGGATACCACTTCAAATTGAATCAAAAGGATATCTATATTTTCTCACAGCTAAAACTTTATAGGTTAGATGTCATTAACCCTCCAAAACATGACTTCTCATCTCAATAAATTCCTTTGGTAGCCATAGAAAGAATATGATAGTTATACTTCAAAAAAAATTACAGGCTTTAATTAACTTCAATGATTTTGGGTAGTAAATTACCTCAAGGTAAGATGAACTCAATTCATAAGGAAGATGTTGATTGGAAGACTTGATATGGAATATGTCCAAGCTAGAATTCCGAATCTTTGATATTAATGACTCAACTTGCAGAACCTAGACATAAAATGGAAGAGAAGGTGGTTACCCAAGCCTCCAAGGTATTGGTTAATAGTTGCTTATAAGAAAACTCAATTCTTCTATGATATTGTTATCTAGAATACACACATCAGAGCAATTCTCACCTGAATATGATCAAACATTCAAGAATCAGGAAATAGGGCACAAACTTATCCCAAAAGCTACAGTTTCTAATAATTACTCTTATGAGAAACATGATGAAATTATGTCTGTCCAAATGAGTAGAACATACGTCTGATTAGTTATTGTACAAACAATAATCAACAAGAAGCATCACGAAAGGAAATACTAATGATGCCGAGAGTAACTGATCAAAGCTTCATCATATTGGGTGCATTCCAATGCCAAAAAGGTTAGTTTAGGTGCTTTTCTTAGCTACAACTACAACAAAATTGCAAAATAAAGTAGCAAACTGAAAATATAATTGGTAACTTACAAAGTAAACTTTACTCAAAAGGGGTTGCTAGCTTTCAAATTGCTCTCACAGTTCTTCTACAGAGAGACATGTTTCTTCAAATGCCTTGGTAAGCACTTCATCAGAAGTAATTTTAGAATCAAAGATTTCTTCAAGAATTATGGGCTTCAACAACTTTAATATCTCTTCTATTCTCTGGTAGTACTTCTGAACTGGTTCTCAGTTAATGTTCTCAAGAGAGGACAAATTGAAAAATAAAGAAATGTTTCTAAGAAGTTTTTCTAACAAAGACATTCCCGTATGATCTGCTTCAAAAAAAATATCAAGGAAGACCACAAGTGAGAAAGAGCAGCAGCGGGTGGAAAACTGAAATAATTATAGGTAACTACCATGCACAACATGAAACATATGAAACTATGATTTATTTGTCCAAAAGATATAATCAATTCATCGGGATTTAGTCACTTGTGAAATATAAAACAAATAAACTAATGTTACTGCTTTGAGGTGACAAGATTTAGGCAAAAATTTCATAAAGTATAAGGTTTTAAAAACTTTTGGAATCATTATGGTTTTCACCAACTCCAGCATGTCAGGAACTTCAAGGTAAAAATACCCTCTTAAAGTTCATGATACTATCCACCGACCATGTTAGCCAAGATTTTATCTAGGTTTATCATTTTATCTTCCCATTCTTGATTTTGTTTCAGAATTGGAGGGCAGGGGAGTCAGTTGTTTCCATGTAAAGGCCACCCTCCTATATGTGATGTGATCATGTCTAGCACCAACTTTCTTCATGACACACTCACATCATTGAAGATTCATCATGCTCAATATAAGGGAGTTATACCTTACTTTATATTATATTTACTCATTTATGCACTATATATTATTATGAGCATACATTTACATCTTAAACTATGCTTGAATAATCATATGTTATCATTCACTTGCAACTATATGATTTTCATGCATAACATATGTTTTCACATTTTTACTTAGCTTTATATTATGTTTACATATGTTTTAGATTCATTTATTATGTTTGCATATCATTTAGATATCATGGCAGCATGTATTCATTCATTCATTCATTAACTCATATCATGTTATTCTAGCTCATGTTATGTTTACATTAGCTCACTAACTTTAAATCCATGATTCTTTAGCTCATTTGCATGCATGCATCTATTTTCTAGCTCATATATGTTTTATTAAAGCTCATGAACGTCCTATGCCTTTTATCTAGCTTATATACATGTTATCTTAGCTTCTAGATGATCATTCATAGCTTATATCACTCAAACACCTCACGACAGCATGCATTTTACCTTAAATGAGCTCACACATTGCTTACTTGGTTTGTTTGTTAATTCCTATAGGTGAAACACAAAGCAAGGCATATTATGGTAGCTTGGTTAGCTAAAAGGATAAACATAGCAGCTCACACTAGCTCTTGAACGTTATGGCAGCTCATTTCATCACTTAAGGAGCTTTAACTTAGCTGGAGGAGCTAGCATGTAGCTGAACCTAGTTGGAGGAGAGCTTTGGACCAAATTGTTGAAAAGTGGACTAAAGGTAGTTGGAAGTAGCTGGGAGAGTAGCTGAGGAGCTGAGAAGACCAAAGCTAACTAGCTTGAGTTCATCAAGCTATAACTCACCTAGTTAGCTACCAAGACACTCACCTAGCTTACCTTGAAGCTAGTTCATCTCTAGGCTGCCCATGGACTTCAAGACATCATCATATGGTTGCAACCTCACCAAAGCCTTGCAAGAAGACCCATGTGCATTCAAGTAGGCTGCCATGTGCATCATTCAAGCACGTGCACTCCATGTGACATCAAATTGGCGCCAAAACACCAAGGGATGCTTCCTATTCGGCCAAAGACTCTTTCCTCTTCATTTTGGCGCCCAAATAACTTCCAAAGGCATTCAAAACATCCTTAGGCCGAACCAACACCTTACCATTCGGCCAAGAGCATGTATCTTCATTAAAATCATGTATTTTCATTTAAAAATCATGTATTTTCAAAGGGGTTTCATCCATAGCCGAACCATCATGTATCTATTCAACCTAAACCCTTTGAAAAACTATAAATATGCTAGTGCATTTCATTTGTAATGATCTCATCTCTTATATAAAATATACTCTTGTGAGTTATTTCTCTTCAAAGTTCTTTGTGAACTTTATCGATTAAGCAAGTATAATTTCTTATACTTGTGGCGTCATTCTTTCCAACTTGATTCCTAAATTCCTAGATTATTATCTAGTGGGTTGAAGACACTATCACCACCCCTCAAACAAGTTTGTGAAGACCGGGATTGTGCTCGTTAGCATTATTTCATCTTTGGCGAGTTTGAGATACAAATCAAAGCCATCTCCATTTCATCATTGCCACCATCAACAACATCCATTAATACCATCAATTCCGCAGCCATCTCTACCCTTTCTTTATTTCATTTCATTCTTATTATTTATTTTCATTACGTATATTACTATCCCCTTTATTAATTCCATTATTAATCATTCTTTTCTTATCTTATTTTACAGCCCAAACTTATAAATTCAAGGACATCAGTACTTGTCAATCCTAGATCGGGACACAATAAGGCTATCTACTCTATTCATCAAAGCGTGTAGATTCGCCTTACATCAAGCGGTAATTAGAGCATAGTTGGATTGACAACAAAAGTGTCATTGGTGTGCAAAGCAAAAAAGAAAAACAGAAGAAAAGGCTCTTACATCAAATTTGGAGTGCAAAAAGGAAAGAAAAAGACAAAAATAAGAATAAAAAAAAAATTCAAAAGAGAAAGCAAGCCAAGGAAAAGTGCTCTACCATTACAAGAACATCAAAGAGGCCATCTACACTATGAGTTCTTGAGAAAGGTTGCAGTAAGTGTTGTTTCTTGAATTGTAAGTCACCTCTTCCTTTTTCTATCCTTTCATTTTCCTTGTCTTCAACCATTTCTTTCTTTTAATACCTTTGAATCCTTTCTTCTACCTTTCCATTTTTTTTTCTACTCTTTGTACCCTAACCTATTTGCAGCCGACTGTCACGAAATTGGGCCTTTTCCCCACACTTTGGGCTATTTTGGCTATGTTGGGCCACATTTGGTCTTGGAGGTTGATAGAATAGTGTAGATTATTCTAGAACACTCAAGACTTGTACATATTCTAGAAGCATTCTAGAGTCTTCCATGTTAGGTAGGAAATAATGGAGAATTCTAGAGAATCTCTCCCTACCGTAGGATCAAATCAATCTCCACTGTCCATTGAGGAGGTGGGATGCTATAAATAGGTGTAGAATCCTCATTTGTAAATCATCCAAGAGTTGTAAGCATTTAAGCATTCAACAAGCTTTCTCTCTAAGTTCTTTCCTTTCTTCTTTGTTTCCTTGCCAATCCTTTCTCTAGCACGAGTTCGAGTGAGGCTGACTTAGCTATCGCGAGGGGCGAAAAGGAGCTAAGGCCGCACGAGGCTTATTGAGCGATTAAGTCCGTGACAGTTGGTATCAGAGCCAGGTTAGGCGTCAATATCGTGCACGTGTATTGTAGGAATGGCCGGAAATTCGAACGAGTCGACTGTTGCTGAGGAACGTGGAAGAGAAGCTGCACCCAACAACAAGAATAAGAAGAGGGACCAAAGTAAGGCTCGCGAGAGCGCTTCCATAGAACCGATGGTGGCAGAGTTTGGCGAGAAGCTGGAGAGGGTCCAGCACGACTTCAAGACGTTGGAGGATCATGTCTTGGAGCAAGTTGACACACTCAAAGGAAATGCCGAAGAGACCAACAACGAGGTGGAAGCTCGGTTCATACAACTAGAGGATATGATCCAAGCCGTCCGTGAAAGCATCGAGGGGATGCGGGAGGACTTGACGCTCTGCAAGAGAGCCGCCGTTAGCGGGGGTGCTAACCATGTCTCCACCCCGAGGGTCGAGTGCCCCAAGCCGCAAGGGTTTAACGGGACAAGGGACGCCAAGGAAGTCGAAAACTACCTATGGCGGCTGGAGCAATACTTTGAGGGAATCGGCCTTAACGACGAGGCCGCCAAGGTAAAGACCGCTGCCTTATATCTTTCCGATACTGCTATGTTATGGTGGCGTAGGAAACATGCCGACATTGAGCGAGGAGCTTGTCGGGTAGATACGTGGGATGAGTTCAAGAAAGAACTCAAGAAGCACTTCTATCCTGAGAATGTGGTCTACGAGGCTCGCAAGAAATTGCGGGAGTTGAAGCAACGGGGTATTATGCGGGACTATGTGAAAGAATTCACAACCCTTATGCTTCAAATTCCCAATATGTCCGAAGAAGATCTCTTGTTCTACTTCATTGACGGACTACAAGGATGGGCCAAGCAAGAGATGCACCGTCGGGACATTAAAACGGTTGATGAGGCCATTGCCATCGCCGAGTCACTCGTCGACTTCCAACCCTGCTCCCACACCAATGCAACGAAAAATAAAGATAAGTATCCAGCCAAAGGTGGGGGAGAACGGCGGGAGAATTACCAAGGCAACCGAGACCGAGATCACCGAAGGCCACAAGCTAAAGAGGGAGATCGTGATCGACGTCCGGGGCGAAGGGACTATGAAGAGAAGAAAAAGGCCTTCGTTCCCAAAGGAGGATGTTTCTTGTGTAAAGGACCGCATCCGATGAGTAGCTGTCCCAAACTTGGTTCATTGTCTGCCATCGTCGATCGTCAAGACACAGAGTCTCAAGCCGAGATGGGGTCACTCCAAGTTCTAAACGCCTTGAAGGCCAAGCCATTGACACCAACATCGAGTAATGGGCTCATGTATGTAGAAGTGGTGATCAACGAGAAGCCGACAAGAGCCATGGTGGACACAGGAGCTACCCACAATTTCGTGTCTAAAGACGAAGCCAACCGTTTGGGCCTAAAGTACACTGGGAGCACAGGATGGCTCAAGACGGTAAACACACAAGCTGTACCACTCCATGGCGTGGCACGAGGGGTCGAGCTACGCTTAGGCACTTGGAAGGGCCAAGTGAACTTTTCTGTCATTCCCATGGATGACTTTAAGGTCGTTTTGGGGTTAGACTTTCTCCGACAGGTAACCGCTATCCCTATGCCCTCCTTTAGTTCTGTTTGCATCTTGGAGAAAGGGTCTCCTTGCATGATCCCCACGGTCGAGGCACCGAAAGAGCAAGGTCGAGATGCCACACAACTCTCGGCCATACAACTTGGTAAAGGCATCAAGAAAGGGGACATTACTTATTTGGCCATGCTAAAGGAAGATGACGAGATCGAGAAAACGGATGACCTACCATTGATCATCCGTGAAGT